GCTCACACGGCAGGTTCCGGGGGTGCTCCCCACCCCAGGAACACACTGGATGAACCAGCCGTGCACCAAACCCCACCGAAATCCCTCCTCCTGTAGCATCGCCACTTTTGCAAGCGGGGCAATGCTCTGGGCTCCTGCAAAATGGTGGGGAGCAGCTCTGTCCCTCCGTGGTGGTGCTTGGCCAAGAGCCCTCTCCCATGGGAGCTGCTCATCTCTGGGTTTCTCTTGCTTATTCTCTCTTCCTTCTCCCTTTTTTTCTCTTCCCAGCTCAAAGCCCCACGGTGGCAGATCCCCTCCAGCAAGCCTACGCAGGCATGCAGCACTATGCAGGTCTCAGCCTTTCTTTGCACTTCTTCCCTCTGTCCCCTCTTTGCTCCTCACCCTTATTTCTGTGGGGTGATCATCACCTTGGGGTTGAGCCACAGGGTTGGGGCAGTGTGCTTGGGCATGGATTAATGTGGTAAGCATGGGGTACCCTACCCTAGCAGGAGCTCCGGGGCAGCGATGAGGGTGACGCTGATGCAGAGTGCCATCCCCTCATCCTCAGCAACACAGATGCGCTCCCAGCACGGCCCTCCGTGAAAATTTTGGATGGAGGAAAGTGAGTTTTAGTGCCCATGGGGCTGAGAGAACTCTGTGCGGGAGAGCTGCCGGCGGTGCCTAGGAGAGGGGGCGAGGTTTGCTCAGTGATGGAGAGCCGGCTCCATGCCGGATCCTGCTGACACACGAGCCTGCTGGTAGAGGTGGCCATGGAGGGTCCAAGATATCAAAAATCCTTGGATGTTCATCGCGCGGCCGATTCTGATGGCCAAGGAGATGGGTCATAGAGAGAAGGGAATCAAAGCATCCTGTGGAAGTACGTCATTTAATTAGAAGCACTAACAGTGATTTTCAGGTTTTCAATAGAAAATCGAAGTTTTGGACCCCAAATTGTTTTTTTTCAACCAGAAGTGCTGACTTTCCTTGGCCTTGAGGCCATGTTACTGCTGCCACCAGCGTCCCTCCTGGGAGAGCCGTTCCTGCATCCCTGGTGTGCCGGGAAGTCAGGGCCATGCCGGCAGGGGTGGGAAGGGCAGAGCCAGCAGCCCCAGGGCAGGAGAGGCACCTCCATCGAGGGTGGCAACGGGGGACATCTCTGTCCCCAGTCCTTCCCAGGGCTGGGGTGGGCGCTGAGGTCTCAGCTCCGCGTTTCTCTCTTCCAGCAGCGTATCCCACCGCCTACGCACCCATCAGCCAAGCCTTTCCCCAGCAAGCGCCCATCATTCCGCAGCAGCAGCGAGAAGGTGAGGGGTTGTGGGGGACACCCCGCCATGGGGCCGGCGGCTCCTCGCTCCCCCTCAGGGTGACCCCTGCCTCGCGGCTGACGTGCTGCTGTCCTTTGTGTGTCACCCAGGTCCCGAAGGCTGTAACCTGTTTATTTATCACCTGCCCCAGGAGTTCGGGGATGCGGAGCTCACGCAGATGTTCTTGCCTTTTGGCAATGTCATCTCTGCCAAAGTCTTTGTGGACCGTGCCACCAACCAGAGTAAATGCTTTGGTAAGTCCCAGTGTGCAGCTCTCCCCATGTCCCAGCTCGGAGGTCTCGCTCTCCCCAGTCCCCAGCTTGGGGGTGCAGCTCCCCTCAACATCCCAGCTCAGGGGTCCGGCTCTTCTCAACATCTCAGCTCTCCCTGGTCTCCAGCTCAGGGCTGTGGCTCTCCCTGATGTCCCAGCTTGGGAGTCCAGCTCTCCTCAACTCCCAACTCAGGGGTCTGGCTCTTCCCAGTGTCCCAGCTCGGGGAGTCTGGCTCTCCCCAACATCCCTTGCTTGAGGGTCCGACTCTCCCCTGACATCCCAGCTCAGGAGTCCAGCTCGACCGAAGTCACACGGTGGTTGGAGCAACACGGCTGTCCATCCCAGGGCCAGAGGGCAGCTTTTTGTCCTGCACTGTGCCAGGACAGAAGGCCATACCCTCTTATGCTGTCCCCTCTTATGCTGTCCCCCATGTCCTCAGCCCTCTGCACCTGCCTGCGTGCCTGCCAGGGAGGACTGGTCACCGCTTGCCACTGCCATGTCTGCTCTGCTGACATGGCTGAGTGCCACTGCTGCCATCAGCATGCTCTGGCCTGCAGACCTGTAACCACGGTGGCCCTGCAAATCCCATCACGTTGGTGTCCCCACAGACCCCATCACCCTGGTGTCTCCGCAGACCTGCAGACCTTGTTGTCCCTACAGACTCTGTCATCTTGGTGTCCCCACAAACCTGCTTACCTCAGTGTCCCCATAGATCTTCTCGTTGTCTTTGGAGGCCCTGTCACCTCGGTGTCTCTGCAGACTGTGTCATCAAGGTGTCCCCTGAGCCCACACATCCCATCCTGGTGCCCCCACAGACCCTGTCACCTTGCTGTCCCTGCAGACCCCGTCACTTTGGTAGACCCCGTCGCCCCAGTGACCCCACAAATCCCATCACCTTAGTGTCTCTGCAGACCCTGTCACCTCAATGTCCCTGTAGACCTTGGTGTCCCCAGAGATGCCATCAGCCCATCACCCTGTCCCCTGCAATCTGGGACTGCGCTGTTACCCCACAATCCCCCTCTCCCAGCACCCCCAGCCTGGGGCTCCACCTAAGGCTGCCTGCAGGAGCATTCCCTGGGATTTCAATGCTTTGGTTGCAGCAAAGTGGCAACCCGTGATGTTTACGGTGATAAACTCCTCTTGTCCCTCGCCCCCAGGTTTCGTCAGTTTTGACAATCCGACGAGTGCTCAGGCAGCCATTCAGGCCATGAATGGCTTCCAGATCGGCATGAAGAGGCTAAAAGTCCAGCTAAAGCGGCCGAAAGATGCCAACAGACCCTACTGACCCCTGCGCACCCTGGCCCTGCAGAGAGGTAAGGGGAGGAGCTGGGGGGGCCTGGCCCTGCTGCACCCCCCTGCGGCACCCCAGGGGACCTGGCAGTGAGGCTGGGCTCACCTAAAGCATTGCAGGTGCCGTGTTTTCTCCAAAAATGTCCTTGAGTGTGTGCAGGGGTTTCTGCGCCCAGGACTGTCTGTTTGTGTTTCAGACTCGGATTTGGGTCCATCCCTCTGTCTGTCCGTCCTTCCCTCCATCCCTCTGTCCGTCCTTCCCTCCATCTGTCCTTCCCTCTGTCCATCTGTCCTTCCCTCCATCCCTCTCCCTGTCCGTCCGTCCTTCCCTCCCTCTCTCCGTCCTTCCCTCTCTCCATCCCTCTCTCCCTCTGTCCTTCCCTCCCTCCATCCCTCTCTCCCTCCGTCCTTCCCTCCATCCCCCAGGACGCAGGCTAACAGCCCCTTTGCTGGTTTGCAGGTCGGGCATCCCGCGGTGTCTGACGACTTTCCCCTTCCCCAAGTGCAGTATCCAAACCCGTAACTCTCTTTCTTTGCAACACATCCTGGAGGAGGAAAAGGAGGAGGAAGAAGAGGAAGAGGAGGAGGTGATGGAGAAAATGGCGAAGAAGAGAGCCATTCTGGTTGTAGCTTTTTTTTTCTTTTTTGATTGTTTTTCCCAACTGGTCTTGTTTGTTACTTAACGGGAACGAGAGAGCGAGGAAGACAAGGAAGGAGGAGAGCGATGTGGTGCTGGGGCTGAGATTCACTGCCGGCCGCTCGTCGGGACTCACGAAACTCCTCACCGGGAGAAAGGACGACGGCCCCGGGCAGCCAGGATACGATCTACCTTTGTTGGTGTTTTTTCTTTTTTTAAAGCACTCATTTGCTGCTACCAATTTCCCAGGAGAAACGAGGAAAAGAGGCTCGAAACGGATTCTTAAACCAAAGCCGGTGGGACAGGACCAGCCTCGGGCGCTTCACCTGGAGGATGCTTGTTT